GCTGATATTCCCGAAATCTACGAAGACGAAGATTCTGGTTCTCAGCAAGCTGGCGATACTGAGATCTTCGAGGAGCCATTGGAGCAGTCCGCAGAGGTAGTTGAGAGCAGCCAGGAGGCTGTGGCCGACGCAAGCGAGGATAAGGAGAATATGTACGCAGTGCCGTCCGTGCCTGACAATCTCGCTTCTGAGTCGCAGCCAGACAAGGAAAGAGAGCTCGGGGATATTCCCATTCTCGCACCTTCCACTCCGATGAAGAACAGAATTCCTGAGATGCAGACTGTACACACGGTTTCTAAAGTTCCACTCAAGCCCGAAGGCCAGATATCGCCGTTGAAAATGTCGCGCAAGCGTGGTCTTTCGCTCTCTGCCTCTTCCCCAGGGCGCTCCTCGAGACCCCGCATGTCGGCAATTGCACCAATCGCGCAGAATGCCCCCCAGCTGTCACCTCGCAAATCGCCCCGGCTACAAAGAACCGCTTCGCGCCCGTCACTCGGCCAATCGCATACTCATGATACAGCTAGAAAACCCATTGAGGCTCAAAGACCTGCACCGCCCAAGCGGCCCTCGTACTCTCCCAGCCCTAAGAAGAAGACGAAAACGCCTCGCACGAGCATCAATGCTCCCAAGCTCGCCCTACAGGGTTCTGTTGTATATGTGGATGTGCACACAACTGAGGGAGAGGATGCTAGTGGCATTTTCATTGAACTTCTGCAGCAAATGGGAGCCCGGTGTGTGAAGAACTGGTCGTGGAACCCTCGCGCCAGTGTATCTCCGGAGGAGGGAACAGAGCCCAAGGAGGGCAAGGTGGGAATCACCCATGTTGTCTACAAGGATGGAGGTGTCCGAACTCTGGAGAAGGTCCGACATGCCAGAGGCCTTGTCAAATGTGTTGGAGTCGGCTGGGTCCTTGAGTAAGTTATTCACTTGTCTGCCATGGATGCAGGTACTAACATTGCACAGCTGCGAACGTGCGAACAAATGGCTCGATGAGGCACACTACGAAGTCGACTTGTCTGTTATTCCCCGTGGTGGTGCCAAGCGTCGCAAGAGCATGGAACCACGCGCTTTGAGCAACGTCAATGGCACTCTTGTCAAGACCGACGCGGCGAGTGCATCTGCAAACCGCAGACGGTCTAGCCTTGCCCCTCCCAAAGAATCCATCCCCAGATATGCGACACCCTCTTCGCGTGATGAACCATCTACCCCCGACGCCACTCCTAAGATTGGCGCCGGTCACACGGAAGCAGACCAGCAGTACTGCCACACGCCCAAGACTCCGGGCTACACTCTTGACATGGATGCCATTGGCATGTCGCCAGCCACACCATTCTACCTGTCGCAGCGGACGAAACTTGTGCAGCAGACCTGTCCTCCGAAGCAGACCCGCCAAGGTCTCTTTACCACGCCGGCTGCGGCACGCGAGCCGAATCAGAAGCTGCGGGCCAAACTGGAGGCAGCTAGACGAAAGAGTATGGCGTATAAGCCGCGAGTGGGGAGTCCCCTTGTTGAGTAGATTTTGGTTGATTTTGATTCGCACCGGATTAGTTTAATTTCTGCATGGTTCTGGTTACTGGGATAATCTGTTTATGGTTATGGTTATACTACATACCCCTTTGTTGTCTAGTGGCGTATGGTTGGATTATAGTAATTGGACATCCATTTCATCTTCAATCATTTACGTGTATGTTTCAGCCTTGAAGCATTGTAATTTTGACGATGGAGGCATAATCGATGTTGATTCGTAATTCATTATCATTACAATAAGACATGATTTGTCGATGCGAGACCAGCTCAACTCTCAACCTACCGCAGTCGTATACTCACAGACCCGGACCAACAGAGACAAAGGCTCTCATGGCGTCCACCACATTCCCATCATGCAACCTTAACAACTCGGTCGCAGTGCTCTTATTCAATTCCAACTCCTCGACCTTGCCCACCATCGCAATTAGCCTCCACCCAAACAGTTCTCCAAGGTATTGACATACCAAAAGATTCACATCCTCCACCGCCACCTTAACCGCCCTCTTCTTAGCCCCTTCCATCGGAACCCTCTTCTGGGCATCAACCGGCTTCTGCACGCCACCACGACCAGCACCACCAGTTTGTCCCGAGGCGATCTCCAAGCGACTCATTGCCTGACCCAGAGCTTCCTGGTCGGCAGCGGAGGGAGTGGAGGAGGACTTGAGGGTGTCGGGGGCGATGTGGCTGGGGTTGAGGGCGGAGAGGGCAGCGGCGGCTTTGCGGTCTTCGGCGTTGGTGGGGTGTTGGTGTTGATGATGTTCATCGGGGTGGGCGGAGGGGATGGAGTCGGACATGGTGATTGATGATACTGATTGATTGATTGATTAATTGATTTGATTGATGCAGGATAAGTAGATGGGTTTGGAATTGGACTGTCAGATGGTTAGTCAGGTCAGGGGCAAACAATGAAGATAACCAACTAGCTAAGTTAGTTAACTATGGTAGGGTAGATAAGTAGTAGTATTGAGAACACATGACGTCGGAGTTCAATAATAAAATGGGCATGGCAAAGAGAGCAAATTGCCTGTCTGGGTTAGCGGGACAGGCGTGACTCAAAAGGGTCCAAATCCGCGAATAACCGATTTTCTTTTTTTTTTTTCTCTTTCTGCATTGAAAGTTAATTTAATTGAAAGTGTAACGTGTTTGTTGTTCTTTGCTTTTCTTTTTATTCTTCAACTTGATTGCTTCTTCTTCTTCTTCGTCGTCTTCCTCTACTTCCATCTCCTTTTTTCCCTTGCTTCGTTGCAGTCATTCATTCATTCATTCCAAAGAGCGGTGGGGAATCAACATCCACTCTTGACAGCGCCCTAGCGTCGATCAATCACTAATTACTCCTCGCTGCCTCCACCGACTCTGTCACAATGGCGGAGTCAGAATGGTCTCCTAGCTGTGTGTACACCCATCCTATGTTTCTTCTTATGAGGAAGGAAAAGTATTGCGATGACTGAGTCCCATCAGCTTGGGCCTCGAAACCCATCAAGCAGGATGTCGTTTATGACGATGCGGCGGGCGTACAAGCTGCACTGGCGAAGCTGCAGAAACTCCCGCCGTTGGTCACGACTCAAGAGGTGCGATCTATCGTTTCGTTGAGAGCTGAACAGACAAGCTGATATATTTGTAGGTGAATGACCTAAAGAAGAGCTTGAAGAATGTTGCATTGGGAAAGGCCTTTGTACTCCAGGGTGGTGAGTACACGGATTTAGATTCCGCATTACCGCCGGTACTGATACTGTGCAAGGCGACTGCGCGGAGCTGTTCGATTACTGCAATATGGATATGATTGAAGCCAAGGTGAAGCTGCTTCTTCAGATGAGTTTGGTTTTGATTTGGGGTATGTCTTCCTACTTTAGAATAATGAACTATGCTAATATCACCCAGGAGCAAACAAGCCTGTCGTACGTATCGCCCGAATTGCAGGCCAATTCGCCAAGTAAGGCTTCACTCTCTACATGAACAACAACACCCTCTAACAACCAATAGACCCCGATCCAGCCCAATGGAAACCATCGACGGCGTCGAAATGCCCTCCTTCCGCGGCGACAACATCAACGGCTTCGACGCCACCCCCGAATCCCGCAAACCAGACCCCTCCCGACTGGTCTCAGCCTACTTCCACTCCGCCGCGACACTCAACTACATGCGCGCCTCCCTCTCCTCAGGTCTCGCCGACCTGCACTCCCCTCTAGACTGGGGTCTCGGGCACGTCATCACCCCCTCCATCCGGGAGAAATACACCAAGATCGTCAACCGCGTCAAAGACGCCTTACGATTCATGCAAACCGTCGGCATCGACACCGACCGCGGCGTCGAGACCGTCGACATCTACACCAGCCACGAAGGCCTCCTCCTCGAATACGAACAAAGCCTCCTCCGACACCTCAAGAACCCCGACCCTCCCACTACCTCCACCCAGCCCCCCAAGTCCTACTACGCCACCTCCTCGCACTTCCTCTGGATCGGCGACCGCACCCGCCAAATCAACGGCGCCCACGTCGAATTCTTCCGAGGTATAGCCAACCCAATCGGCATCAAAATCGGCCCTAGCATGACTCCCGCTGAACTCACCTCCCTCCTTGACATTGTCAACCCAGCCCGAGAAATCGGCAAAGTCACCCTCATCTCGCGCTACGGCGCAGCAAAGATCTCACAATACCTCCCCGCCCATATCGCCGCCGTACAAGCCTCGGGGCACATCCCCGTCTGGCAATGCGATCCCATGCACGGTAACACGCAGGCCACGCCGTCCGGGGTGAAGACGCGGCATTTCAGCGATATCTTGTCTGAGCTGAAGCAGGCATTGGAGATACATCGCGCGGCGGGGTCATTCCTGGGCGGAATGCATTTGGAGCTGACGGGCGAGGCGGTGACGGAGTGTGTGGGTGGTGCTGGAGGGTTGACGGAGGAGGGGTTGAGTGAGCGGTACACGACATTTTGTGATCCCAGGTTGAATGAGAAGCAGGCGTTGGAGTTGGCGTTCTTGGTGGCGGGATTTTATAGGGAGTTGGATGAGGAGTTGGCGGAGGATGAATCTATATAGCCAGCCCTGTCCCTTTTGGACTAAAATGGAAGGATAGTAAGATCTTTATGATGGTATGGAATTAATATACTTCTTTCGGGTTATTGGTAAGCCATTTCTGCTGAGTATTCAAGAATGTGTCGTGAGAGGGACTACTACATCGATAGGTAGAGTTGATCGAGCTACTTAACTCTCATAGTACTATTTATTGTCTACCACCTTTGTAGTTCGATATCCATACTAAATTACCTCTACTCCAATCCACACTCGCAAATCAAACCATGAACAATAGCCAAATGGTATCCATTGATATATAAATATGAATAAAAGGCCGTCCCGTCTATCATCATAACCTACTGACCCACCCACCCGTCCACCCTTTATCCATCTATCCAACCCATTTACACACCAACTAAATGCATATATACACAACTCCCCCACTCATCCCTAGTACATACTACTTCTTCGACCTCCTCTTCCTCTCAATCCCCCTCCCCTCCCAAATAAACCACAAAACAACCCACCCCACCATCGCCTCCACAGCCAACCCCCACCAAACACCCCCGACAAAATTCCCCCTCAGGCCCTCACCCAACCCCCAGCCACCCAAAAACGGCCCTAACGTTCTCGCCGCAGACGAAATACTCTGCGAGACGCCATTAATCGTGCCGAGCACCTTCGCATCCGAGACACTATTATTCACTAAGATGACCGCAGCAGGGAGCGCGAACGTCCTCGACACGACCTGCAGTGCGATCACCACGGTAAATGCAGGCCAGACGATGTATGCTGCGCGGGGAAGAAGGAGGAGGAAGGGCATGAGGGCGTATGCGAGGGAGGAGAAAGGTAGGAAGGTGCGGAAGGACCGTAAGGTACCCAGGTAGCCTTGGACCCAGGGGTAGATGAAGATTTGTAATGGGAGGCCGATGATCCCGATGATGGCGGTGGCGAGCCCGACGCGCGAGGAGGGCAGGCCGAGGCCGCCCGAGAAGTGGAACCAGCCGGTTCTGTTGGAGGGAGGGGCGCGTGGGGTGGGGAGGAAGGTGAAGGTGATGGCGTTGAAGGCGGAGGTGTGGAAGGCGAGGAGGAATTGGGCGAGGAGGGTGAGGAGGACGTTGCGGGTGTAGATTTGGCGGAAGGAGGGGCGGGATGATGGTGTCTTTGGGGTTGGACGGGAGGAGCGGCTGCTGATGCTGATGCTGCGGCGGTGGTGGGAGGTGTTGTCGATGTAGAGGGATTCGTCGTCCGGGAGTTCGGTTAGTCGTTGGTAGTATTTGCTGTCTTTGCGTCTGGTGCGGCGGAGGGCGCGTGAGATGCGGTGGCCAAGTTGACGGCCCCAGTCGCTGCGGTGGCGGGCTGTTTCGTGGGTCTGTAGCTTGATGATTAGATGATGGATTGGAGAGGATATTGGGGTAGGGATGGGGCGTACCTCGTCTAAGCCGAAGAAGACAGCCAGCAATGAGCAGAAGATGAACACTGCACTGAGCAGGTTCGGTAACAGGAAGGGCCATTTGCGCATCCACTCCACCCCATTCGCACCACCAAGGAATGTGCCCGGTCCGAAGATCTGGGGATAGTTCTTGACTGGATCAGCTAGGGCACCGCCCAGCACGGGGCCGATGATGACGCCGATGTTGAAGCACATGGGCAGTAAGAGGAACGCTCGAGATTGATATCTGCATTTGTCAGTGATAATACCCATTTTAAGAACGGTACAGAGTATGGACGTACTTCTTCTCCTCAATAATCTCCGCAATCATCGTCCTCATCACACCCACATTACTATTCAGCACACCTCCCAGCGTGCGAAACACCGCAGCAGCCACAAACGACCGCGAGAACCCAAACCCCAAGCACGAGATACACGTCCCCAGCGACCCGATCAGCAATACTCTCTTCCTCCCCATCCACTCCGCATCAGCTAGTCGTCCCCACCACACAGCCGTCAGGAACTGCGCTGCAGTGAAACTGCCCTGCAGGATGCCTGCCTGTCCGGAGATAGTCGAGTCCGGTAAGGACGGATCGAACGACTTGAGCTGGTAGAACATGTACGCTTGCAAGGAGGTCTGGGTGAGTGGCTCTGAGAGACGGGCGATGGTGAGGATAGCGAGTTGGCTCTTTTTCGGTAGTGAGGACCATGTTACGGGTTTCTCGTCGGCGTCGTTGTTGTTGTTTTCCTCGTTGGGGTTGGGATCGTCTTCGTTCGCGATCAGGTTGGTTTCTTCTTCTTCGTCGTCATCGTCGCTGGAGCTGAAGCTGTCGCTGTCGCTGTCACTGAAGCTGCTGTCATCGTCGTCGTCGCTACTGTTGTGATCATCTACTGATAAGCGCTGCGACTGAGAGAATCCGGGCATGGGCGCCGGCGCAAGTATACGGGTCTGCGCCGAGCTGCCGTCGTGGATGGCAGTGTTGACGCTGTCTTGGTCGCCGTCGATGGAGGAATCGACTGACATGGCGGGCGACAAGAATTGGGTGTCCGGATTCTTGCGGAGGCGTGAGGCGTCGGCCTCGGGCGCGGAGATAGCAGTAGTAGTATCTACATGATTGTCGGTGTGGGACTTGCGGATCTCGGGTGGTTGTGTAGAGGTCATATATAGATATTGTCGTGAAGAACAGTAGGAGAATCTGGGGAAGCCGTCAGGTACTTCAAAGTCAAGGTTCAACGGAGACGATAAAAACTACGGAAAAAGAAAAGGGTGGGAACAAATCTGGGGAGAAGAAGAAAGTGGATAAGAAGAAAGCCGAAGAGGCGATGAGCCAAAGATTCGCCCGAAGCTTGTCATCCCCGCTAAACCTGCCTCGGGTTTAGTCGCCGCGACTTTGCCGATGCCTGATTCTGTATAGACGAGGATGCGACATGCATATCACTCCCCATTCTTCTCATCCTGCACTGTGTAACACCGCGTCCCTTACATGGCTAGGTACCTCCTACTCAGTTAAACGAACATTGCATGTACGCAAGCATTGACTCATCTGTGCTACCGATTCAAAACATCCTTATCCAATCCCATCCCAGACAGGCAGTAATCAATTCAACAAGGCTAAGCACTCCCTGCATCCGAATCAGAACGCCGTATCCAACACTGTTGAGGACAAAGAGAAGAAAAGAAGAAGAAAAGGGGAGAAAGAAAGAGGGGTGAAGGGCAAGTCCGATCGCATTCCGTTGCGAGATCAACACCTGGACGGAGATCTTATTCAGTCCGTCGACGTCCAAGAACAACCTCAAGCAACAGACACATGAACGAGTCCGAGGACTCCCAAAGACAGTCACACACCACATGCACGGCGGACACATTCCTCGAGGATCAACTCAAAGACCCTGCGCATCATCGCGTTCTCAAAGATCAGGGACATACACAAAGTCAGTCGGAAACCTGATCCAAAAACATTACTTCTGCACAAAGACTAGGCGAGCGTGAGAGAAAAGAAAGAAATGAAAAAGGGGAATAGAGAAAAGTACACAATTAGAATCACACATGCTCAAGACCAATGTAACAAATCAAGGAAAGAAAAAGAGCGATAGCTCAGTGGTATTCAACTAGTTGCGACGGCTTCCACCAGTCCTGCCCGTCATCTCCAGAGTACTTTCAAACCCCTCCCAAGGAAGCTCATCATCGTCCTCCGAGTCCGGTTCCTTGCGAGAGGACTTGTCCGTGGTGGCGGTGACGTCTGCTGTCCGTCCTGCCGTATCAATTCCAATCGACTGAAGAGTCACTTCCATCTCCTGCTCCGTCATCTCACGGCCATTCTGCTTCTGGCCTTCAAGGACGTCGTACAGTGCATAAATCTGGTCGGCCTTCATGTCGATATCCTTCAACAGCTTCTTGATCTTCTCGCCCACAGACTTCCTCTGTCGCTTGCTCAGCGAGGCATCCAGCTTGTTGTACGAGCCCTGGTATGCCACCAGCTGCATCTTCAGGTGGGCCAGCTCATCTTCCAAAGCCTTGAGCACGGTCGCGAGGGCAAGCTCTGGCGATTGCGCGGGGCGCATGGTAGGCTCCTCATTGTAGACAGACGGCTCGGGCATACGCTCCGAAACGGGAACGGGCTTCGGAATCTTCACTGCCTCTCCAGTATGTTCACAAGAGGCACCTGGAATGGACTGCTTGCAGACCGTGCAGTTTTTGCCATTGTGCTTAGTGGCACTGTCAAGTGCACGCTGAGCAGGTTCGGGAAGCTTGGAAAGATTGTTCTCGACCAGATGCGCGGGGTTGAACGTAATATCAGGCAAGATAAAGGCCGAGGTCATCTCTTCGGCCATCCTCCGCCGGCGTCGCTGAGAAGCAGCAGCCCCGGAGTTGTCCGAATGCCGTCTGGGGCGTTCGACAGGCACCGACAAGTTACTTTCTCCTTCAGTCATGCTAGCCTTGGAGTTGGCGGTCAAGTCACCCATGGCCGAGGCGGGTCTAGATGGCAACCCCTTGCTTTCTTTGAGGGAAGACTTTCTGGGAATCGTCAACTTAGCCAGGCTCTGCCGGGTCGTACTTCCGGTCTCGTTTGCAGTCTGCTCTTTGCTTGTACTCGACTGCCGCCGTTTCCGAGCCAGGCGTTCCTCTTCCAGCGTCTTCCGTAATTGAGCGATTTCACGTTCCTGAAACCAGAGTAAGTACGGGCGTGCAATGTGGCAATAACATGAAAGGCAACTTACATCAACGAAGCTCAGCAAGGTCAAGTCCTGCTCCGTTGCATTGGATTTCTTGGTGTTTCCAGTGACCTCACCACTCGATTCAACAGGCTCAGTCTCCTCCACCTCTTCGACAACCACTCTCTTGACGCGCTGTTTGCCAGTGTTCGACTGCTTCCTGGTACTCACATCACTGCTCTCCGACCGGCTCTTGGACTTTCCTGATCTCGACTTCGACTTTTCCCTGGTCTGGGGGACGTCGATCGAAAACAGTGCCTCTTCTGCACGCTCCTTTTCAAGCCGGGAAATTTCCTTATCGACCTGCGTCGAGATCTTGGCGCGCGAATCTTCCTGACGTCTAGACTTGGATCGCGAGCTCTTGCCAGTGACTTCGCGGGTGCTTCGGCTCGTATGCTTGCTATGCTGCGTATCAATCTGGCTATCCTCGTCGCTTGCATCAGTCATAGAAGACTGCTCTGACTCGACTGTGTCCTCACGTGCTCTGGAGCCCGCGGACAAGATCTTCGATATCTGCGACTTCAAGTCTGCATTCTCCTGGCGCAGACTCTCATTCTCGCTCTTGAGGTCTTGGCTCTCCAGATATGCAACTCCCAATTGAGACACTGCCATGTCTCGTTCTCGGTTCAGCCGCTTTAAAGTCGATTCCTGAATCTGGGCCTTTCTTTCGATAATGTCGAGTTTGTTCTGCAAAGCCAGGTTGGCGGCATCTAGTTCTGCATACAGAGTTAGCTCAGTATCGCGATGACCAATATAGAAGTGCTTACTTTGGTTCTCGTTGGCAAGCTGATCTCTTCGGTAGTCATCCTCGTCGGATTCGTAATGTCGGCTGCGACCATGCTTGTCCTTTGAGCGCTTGTTTGCCCTCAGCGCTTCATTCTCCCGCTTCATATCATCCAACCTCCGTTCGGCGTCAGACTTGGACCTCTCCAATTCTGCAACCTTGTCCTGCAAGAGTCTCAATGAAACGAAGAGTGCCTTTTCATCTTCCGGAATGGGAACAGCATCCAGCGGCATGTGTTCGCGAGTCAAAGAAACATCAGTAGCATCATGCGGAGGGGAGACAAAGCGCGTCGTCCGTGCTCTGTTCTGACGCGCATACACGGGCGTGCCGTCTTCATAGACGCCCGAGACCAACTCTGACAAGTTGGGAAGATCCGGTAGTAGGAATGACTGCTGAGTAGCCGTATCACCTGCATTGTTGGCCATATTGCGAGAGCTGTTACTGGACTTTCCGCGACGGAGTTCGCGAGCGTAGGCCTCCTGAGAAGCCTTCTCCACCGCATCGGCAATCTGATGAGAGAGGTTGGGGTTCCCAAAACGTGTCGGACGCGTACTGTTGGCCATGACCGGAGGCCTTTCGTCCTCGATTAGGGATCCTTCATAAGTATCGCGAACCTTTGCGTGCATGTCTGACAGCGTTCGTCGCTCTTTGCGGTTCGACTTGGCTGTGTGGGGATCAACGTTCTCCTTATGGGCAAGGCTGGCGCGTCTGATTTGAGCATCCTTTCGGAGACTATCGCTGACCGCTCTTCTCGCCGGGTTCCGCAGAGCAGACTTCTGAGGGGTATTAGAAGTAGGATAATCGAGTCTGACGGCGGGTGACGACGAGCGAACGCTGTTTTCGATGCTCATGTAGGAGTTTCTCGAGTCGTCCAATCGACGGGGAGGTTTCGTCGGGCCTCGACCGGCCTCAATGGAGATGCTGTCGTCGTTGTCGGCCTCTTCTTCTTCTTCGGATGTGCCGACCGGGGAAAAATCTGGTAGGTATTGCTCGAAGGTGGATGTGTTGAAAGCGTAGTCAGGCTCTTCTTCTTCGTACTCGTGGCGCTTCCTGGCGTTGGTGTGCATGGACGGAAGTCGGGGGCTACCATGACCGAGCTCTTTGGTGGACGCGAGCGCCTCGTGCTCAGGGTCGAAGTCGGAGCCAAACGACGCGAAGCTATTCGTTGTTGCTTCGCGCGACATGTTGCCGGTTGATGTGACGCGCCTTTTGGGGCGGTTTATTGACGGAGTGAAAAATCGAGTACCTCACAGGTATCAAATGGTTGAGCTGACTGAATCAGCAAAGCAAATGTGGAAGTAATCCGCTCGTTGTTCTGAGACTGCAAGCTGCACGGCGGACAGTCAAATGTTTAGAGAGTCGCTGGTAGCGCGTCGGTGCAGCGCGAGTCTCCCGGCTTGAGGAGGGAAGTAGCCAGGGAAACCACCACTGAAAGAAAGGACGACAGTGCAATTGCCTAGAGAAGACAAGCCACTGCGGTATCCAGACTATCGCAGAAGCAGCACAATTGCACGGTAAGACCTGGCTAACCGGCTAGACAACGCAATGGGGACGCGAGTGGATGATGCGACGGAAATAAATGAGGAGGCTGGGCTGGCAACAAGTTACTACGTCCTCGACCAAGTGGAACTCGCCCGCTGCTTTTGGTTTGTTTACTCCCGTGGGCCCCCCTCCCGTGGAGCGCCTGACCGCCTTCCGAGTGCTTACGCCACGAGCCAAGCTGCAGAGATAGATAGTGATTATCCAATTCATGAAATTTATTCTAGACAACATTTCCGCACGTCATCTTTGAAGCTTTCGCATTGAGATTTTCCATCATATGCTGGAGCGTATAATATGTGCAGACAGATCCAATAAACACAGTGCCCCCTTCTCTATGCGTACAGGCAGACTGGTGGGCTGAGAAAACAAGAAGAGCCGTCCATAGATTCGCCTTCAATAAAACGCCTTGCGGGCTAACATGAATGTCCAAGGGAAAGAAAACTATTGACAGGGTCGGAGAGTAATTAAAACAACCTATATGCTAGTTATGTAGGGTCGTAAACGCTTATGCTCGTAACGGGTATTGGAATGCGAGGTCGGAAGGGGCGAGGAATGGCAGCCGTGAATGTAGACCGATGGGTCAGGTCTTCTAGTTGTTGACAAGACATATCGATAATAGAGAAATCAAGACGCCTGGTGACTATGAGTGTCATCCCTCAAGAGGTGTGTTTCGGCTGATTCAGAAGCAGGGTGTTCTTCGACACGCTCTTCAGTGATGAGTTGAGTGGTGGTGGCAGGTTGTTCGGTAGTTTGTTCGGCGGTTTGTTGCTCTTCCGGCTCCTCTTCCCGCAGAGGATTCGTGGGCGTGGTGGGAGTGTTGCTGATAGGGCTGGCCACATCGATATGGATGGTTGGCAGGGGGGTCAAGTCACGAAGCTGCGGCGCATGCTCGCCCCTCTCCGCGATTGGACTCGTATAAGGCGGCGCTTCTCCCCATTCCAGGACCTCGTACTCAGGCGGCGGGATGTTGAGTTCACCCACATCACCCTCGTCGACCGTTATTGACGGGCGATCAGCCGAATGAGCAGACGCCGCATGCGATTGCACCTGAGTCAAAGTCTCCGCATCGGAGACGTTGGACACCCCAGACTGATACGACGAGTACGACTCGCCTCGAGAATGAACGCCGGTGAGAATCGATCCTGAGGATCGATCGGGCGCTGATGCATCGGTGAGAAGAGGACGACGGTCCGAATCGGGCGACGTGGCTCTGATACGCGACCCGTCATGCCGCACGTGGCCCAGTTCTGCATAAGAGACACTGGAGATACGCCTATCGCGACCACGGTTACGAGATTCCGCCAGAGCCGCGTTGAGGTTTGAACCACTTCCATTGGCAGACGCGCTGCTTCTCGCGCGGGCCCGACTCTCCTGCCGGAGTTCTTCAAGGCGAATATAGTCCCCACGAGCACGAGCCTCCCGGCGCTCCTGTCGCCGCCATTCACGGTCGGCTATCTCCTCTCGCCGTTGCAACCGGATTTGGTAGAGAGACTCCATCAGCTCTTCTCTGCGGGATTCCTCTTCTTCAGCTGTTTCGGGGAACTCGACAACCATGTCCATGCCTGCTCGCTCCCCCTCTCGAGCGATGACCTGCTCCGTTGGCTTGGGACTGGGCGAGTAGGCGGGAAGGGTGATGACCGAGCGAACCGATGTATCCCGTCGAACATTGCTCGTATTGTTGGCGGCCGGGGTGGTAGTTCGCATTTCCGAGCCTCCTTCGGCGGGCGTGTCTCTGGTGTTCGCATTTGGATTATTCGCCCCCGGGACCTGACCGTATGAGACGCCCACGTTCCACCTATTCCATTTGTCCTTTAGGAATTTTCCAGGCAAATATTTCGGGCGACAGTTCATGCGACGGAGGGTACGTAAGACGAAATAGGTCATTAAGGCGGATGCCACGGCGAAAATGATGCAAGCGACGCACTGCAATCAAAGGAAAAGATGCATTAGTGACTGCGGGAAACCCCAAGAAAGAGAGCACCCACTATTATAATGATATTATTCCTGCTCGAGTTATCATTGTCGGAGGCGTGGTTTTTATCCGGGCTATTATCGGTATTATTGGTGTTGGTGTTGGGATTGTTGATAATGTTGCCCGGACCATCCTGACGGATGTCAAATTGGCGGAAGTTGACTGGAATGTGCATGCTGTGGATTCCGGGCGATCGGGAATGAGCCCAGATCTATAGCCCCTAAGCATGCAGACCAGCGAGAAAGTCGACGATAGGAGGTATTATCGCAGGCGAAAAGAGGTTTGAAAAACCCGGATCGGAGGCGAACTGGAAATGGTAGCCTAAACCGGGAACGCTGCGGAACTGGCGGATGAACAGTGAAGGTTTGGTACTCGGTGGTATGAATGAATAAGAAAAAAGCAAGATAGGCTGCAGAAGGGGGCCTGGGGAAGATTTGATAAAAGATATTACGAATCAGACCATAAAATGCGACTGAAATCAACACGAATAGCTAGAGATAGAGCCAGCAATAATGAATGAGATGGTAGATTATAGAGAAGAAGAGACATGCGCGAATCCATGGCCTCAAGCTGTGATGGCTGGGGAAAGAAAGGACCAGGAGAGAGAATACGAGCAGGACCGCGGCAAGATTTCAGCGGCTAACTGGTGTCAGAGAATGACGATGCTCATCATTCCAAGACAGGCCCTGCAAGTGGTCGTCGAATGGCAAGAGGGGAGAGCCACAGATTGGCGCTGATTGACTGATTTGCTGATGCTGATGCTGATGCTGATGCCGACGAGAAAGTGGCTGGGTCGCTGGCGGAGATAAAATAGCGAATGGATTTTTCCCCAGCCAGAAAGAAGTGACTGATCAGAAGTAGTAGTAGTACAACCCTTGGGGATGCTTCCAGACTCAGGAGGTCAATTTGATCGTGACACGACACAATTACGCATCAACAGAGTCTCTATACAAATTAAAAAGGACTCCATCGCACCCTCCCGACTAATTAAAGACGATCTCATTGTGAAACGAGAGGCGCAATACAAATTGAAGCTGCCGGGTTTTCCTTCCCCGAACCACCGGCGCGTGCCATTTTTAGAACACGTTCCTTCGCTGCTGGTTTTCTGGTTGGTGTCGGATCAACGTTGGGGGTTGTGTTCAGTTGATTTACTCCAGACGCCTCTCTATCTAGCTTTAAGTTCAGTCAGCTTAACGCCCATGGAAAATTAAGCTCACTTATCATCGCCAGGGTCAACTGAGCACCACCCGGGATGGGGCTGTCATTACGGAGTACCCCATCGGAATAAAGTCCTCCCGGTTCACTAGTTGGTCTTGTTAGTTGTTAGTCTCGTTATGGAATCTCCTCCTGAATCCTGACCCACTCCTCATCTACTCCATATTCATGTAGATAGCCGATCTCGCTTTCAGGGCAACAGACTTCCTGCCATCTTCCATCATGCCAAAAACACGACAGCTCCTCCAGTGAGAGACCACCTATCCCTACACTAGGGATGATCGTAACGTTCTTGAACTGTATCACTTTGAGAAGCAGAATATATTCTTTGCTCATCTCAATTCTCACCGGCTGGATCAAAGACGTTGTCCCATTGAACTTAAATTGTTCAGATGTCTGTCAGATGTTAGACGCTGAAGATTACTTACATTGTAGTTCCAACGTTTGTATCCCGGCACTGCCAACACTCAGTGCAAGGCCTGAATCTTTGACTTTCCATACAGGATTGGTGAGGATTATGCCGGGTAACGGAGATGAGAAGGTTAGATGCGATGCAGAACCTAAAATGGCTTCGTGAGCACTGTCTTGAGGTTTCAATCTTGGATATATGCGTTTGGCTCCTCGACAGGCCGGTCAGAGGGTATCGAGTTTTAGCAACTTGGCCGCTTTCCATTGAAACCCACCGGCATGAGAATGAACGAATACCGAGTGGCGTGCATCGTGATTATAGATACTCAACTGTTGACTCATATGATTCAGACGTTCTCACATTCCATGATGATGGCCTCCAATTTCAACCAAATGCAATGAAATAACCTTGGGATTCTGTGATTCAACTATACCCATTTTTTGCGATGAGAACAACATCCATGATCTTTCGAGCGAGAACTTGGTCGAGGGCCTTTGGTCCCCTCTCTGACTGACCCATGTCCGAATAACATATCCGTTGTTGATGGCTGGAAAATATCTTGTCCGGTGGACTTAAGAGTGGGCCGGCTATTTGCAGATTGAGATGATTAGAGCCTTTCATCGGCTAAAAAAGTTTGGGCGTCGATCAGCTAGGGCCATCTGAGTACTACAAGTTCGGAGATAATTCATGAATGCCCTAAAGGCCGAGGAGAAGGAAAAGATGGCATTGATGCAAATCTCCGCGCTACTATCGGAAATTTTGATAGAATGTTGATAAAGGGCCTTTTGATACCTTATTTTGGCTCTCTTCAGCCCATACGGTCTTTTCACAACCGCTGTTCTGCACTGATAATCGAGAATAATCTCGTTCGATCATGCCATTTACGAGGAATGTGAGCCGTATCGCGAATCAAAAGGTTTCTAGTAAGGAAGCGTACGACGAAGACTCAAACAAGATTGAGGGCGACATTCTCCAGCATGACATCTAGAGGCAATTCTTATAAACTAGCCTTGCATACTGTATATCTGCTTAACAATTTGTGGACCAATAACAAGGCAGCATGCGCATCAATGATCCTATCTATGAAAGCGCCGTTGAATCCCACCGATCCGTAAACCCTTCTTAGAATCTTACAATATCCGCTCAGGCGTCCAGCTAGCAACTACCTACTACTAAGTAGTAATACCCAAGCTACCTAGCTTCCCATCCAATCCCATTTCATCCCGCACCAGCCATTGGAATCTCGGAGAGTACAAACTACACCAAGTCAAGGATGATCCCAAGGACGACATGCACAGACAAACCTTCACCCATATTACGCGAGCTCCTTCCCTCTTTCAATCAGGCCTCCATTCCACGCAGTGCTCAATCATAATTCAACGTCGGAGTTAAAACCCTGACCCTACCATGTCCACTTGTCCATCCCACTCACTATCCCGGACTTAACCCATGTTACCTCCGGCAATCCCGAACCTGCCTGGCTAAACCCACTACGCCATGCCATGGAACCTCGAACTCTACCTGCCCACATCAACTGACAGCAACACATAAGCAACCAGTTCCCCGCTCCTCGATCCTAGGTATCAACCTACTCAACACTATCCGCCTCATATCGAGAAAGACCATAGCAGAACCTAACACATACCTCAACTACCACTACGTCATATAGATATATATTATCATCATGTCCTGTCCCGACTGCTTCAGCGGCCACGTGCACGAGGACACTACGCCCAGAGGAACAGTCACCACCTTGCATGGCCTGAGTGCATATGTGACGGAGCCGACGTCCACAGAATCTCCCATCAAGGGGATCATCATCATCATTCCGGATGCGTTTGGGTGGGAGTTTGTCAATAATCGCATTCTGGCTGATCATTATGCCGACAAGGGAGGGTATAAGGTGTATTTGCCTGAATTTATGAATGGTATGTTTACTCCTGATCATTGATGCTCATGTGGATATGTACTAAATATATATACTGCATAACCAGGACACGCCGCTCCAGTGTGGTCCCTAAACACCCTATCTGCAATAATGAAGACCTCATCCATCATGGACTGGATCACGAAACCGTAAGTCTCTCACACACCTACCCAGCACAACTACTATAGTGCAATCTCACACGATGCAGATACCACATCGCCTGCGCCATGTACGCCATGATCCCCTTCGTCTACCACACCAAATTCACCACCTCCTGGCCCACCGTCAAGACATTCTTCACCGCTGTACGGCGCAACGAAGGCGCCAACCTCCCCATCGCAGCTGCAGGGTTCTGCTGGGGTGGGCTACACACCGTGTATCTAGCGCACGACAAAGAAGAAGACAAAGTAGATGGCAAACCCCTAATCGATGCCGGTTTCACGGGCCATCCCAGCAATCTGAAGATCCCCGCGGATATCGAGAAGATCAAGATCCCTGTGAGCTTTGCGATGGCGGAACTGGATATGACGGTGAAAATGCCGCAGATCAAGCAGATTGAGAAAGCCGTGGGAGAGAAGGATGTGGGGGAGGTGAAGGTCTACTACGGGGCTGGGCATGGGTTTTGTGTGCGTGCGGATGTGATGGTTAAGGATGTGAGGGCGCAGGCTGAGGAAGCGGAGGATCAGGCGATTGCGTGGTTTCAGAAGCAGTTTGCGAAGGTGTCTTATTGATTTACTATCCTTCCTTTAATTATTGTGGGGAGCGTGCTCTATTCTTCTCTCTCTCCCTCATACCCCCATTTCATCCATCCCCCTCAGAATCCTCCTCCTCCTCAATCAAAGCCCTTAATTTCCCACCCTGCCGCCGAGCAAGCACCTTATACTTCCCCGCTTCCACCACACGACCCTTGTCAATCACAATAACATTATCCGCAATCTCCATCATATCCCTTGCATGCGTAATGATCAAGACAGTAAGGCCCTTCCGCGTCGCGACCAACCTCTGCACGGTCCGTCGAATGATCTTAGCGTTATTCGGATCCAGGCTGGACGTGGCTTCATCCAGGATAAGAAGCTGTGGCTGTCGCACCAGCGCCCGAGCAATTACCAGCCGTTGCGCTTGTCCCCCCGACATACCGGCCCCGCCGTCGCCTATCAGGGTGAAGTAGCCCTTCGGCAGGGATGTGATGAAGTCGTCGATCCCGGCTGCTTCTGCTGCGGCGCGGATGTGGAACATTGTGCGGAGTGGGGAGTCGGGTTCGAGGCCGTAGCTGATGTTGTCTGCTACTGTGCCGGGGAAGATGGAGGGTCGTTGGGAGACGATGGTGATGAGGGAGCGGAGGGTTGGGGTGTGGATGCGTTGGAGGTCGATTCCGTTTAGGGATATAGGGGAGGTTCTGTTTGTGGTGGTGGGGGCTTCGTAGAGGTTCAGGAGTAAGGATGCTATTGTGGATTTGCCGGAGCCTGATCGGCCTACGATTGCTGTGCTTTGGTTTCGGGGGATGGTGATGCATATGTCGCGTAGGACGTGTGCGTCTGGGCGGGATGGATAGCGGAAGTTTAGGTTGGTGATCTTTACTGGTGCGGCTGTGGTGATTTTGAGAGTACCTTGGTGTTCGTGGGATGCGCCGCGTGGAAGGTGTGCGAGGCGTAGGACTTGGCTGGCCATTATGTGGGAAACGCTGATCTGGGGGACTGGGGGTGTTAGCTGTGGGAGTGGGCAATGGTTGTAGGGTAGGTGGCTTACTCCATGATAGTACTGTGCTTGCGTATCCGATGCTGAAGAGAAGGACAGAGAAGACTGTCATGAGGCTGGTGACTGTGAACTCGAGCGATGATACGAGAACTGCTCCGTAATAGAAGATCAGGCCTGCGCAGGTCAGATATGTGAGAGTTTCAAGGGTTCCATATACAGCTGCTTACTGCTGACGAATATAATCATGGACTCTACCAGTCCGAAGAGAAAGCCGGTATAAACAGCCTTCTTCACTCCGAGGACCATACACAGTGCTGCTGCTTTCATGTGCTTCTTGTGGAAGTAAGGCTCAAGGGTCAATGTGCGGACGGTGCGAATCTGCGAGAACGTCTCGATGAATATCTCCGAAGCTGTCGTCTTGACCCCGGTACAACGTCTCTCCCATATTCCTGTGGTTTTCTCGAGCCCTCTGGTGATGGCATAGATGACTGGACCGCAAGCCACTGCCACAAGGGTGAGTTTCCAGCAAACAGCCATGCACCATATGATAGCCACCACGGTGACTGAAGTAGCCACCAGGACGTAGCCACCGAAATGACCGACCAGGTTTCGCATCTCCTCGGCGCTGTGGTTGAGGGACGAGGTGAGTTGGGAAGGTTCATTTCCTGCTTCTTCAAACCATTTTCGTGGCTGGTCAAGAATATGATGAAAACCTCTTTTGCGGAGACGGTCAACCCACGCCTGACCACATAGCTCCAGAAGATAATGCATCAGGAACGATATAACGCCGTCACCTATGGCTATTCCCAGGACTATCAGTGACCATGTCGAGGCTTTGGCTTGCTTGTTGTAAAACGTCTCAAGGAGCTTCGATAGGCAATAAGAAAATAGCGGAGTAGCCATCGAGTGACCTAGGGTGCTGAAACATCCTAGCAAAAGAAGCAGCTTTTGACCTCGAGTCAGGTTAGGAAGTATGGTCAGCATGATCCGCCCCAATGACATGCTTTCTTGCGGCGCGAGCCGTGCTGCATTCTTGTATGACCGCTTGCTTCGGTGCTTCGATCTGGCCCTGTTAATCTCATTGACGACATCATTCGCAGGAAGTATACTTTGTCTGAATCGGTTGGACTGGAAGTTCGTATCATCGACATGGACGGTATTGAGCTCGAACATCTGCATTCCAATCGACTCACGACGTGGTCTGAACCTTTGAGTGTCTGCAGATTGACGAATGCTCTGTATGCTTCTTTTGTAGCCGTGGATAGCATAAGAATGCCGTGCAAGCTCGCTGTGTCGAGAGAACGAATCAGGGCTTGGACCGCGTGTACCCTCGATTGAGGACCTTGAAGAAACACTGGAGCATCGATCAGAATAACTGTGGACAACGCCATGCTCACTTTCCTCACGATGGAGTTTGTCCGAGGTAGCAAAACACGTATTGCTCTCCTCCAGTTCATGTCTGTAGCCAGCTTGAATAACCGAGCCTTGGTCCATGATGTAGGTAAAGTCATGATCCATGATTTGCGACATATCATGTGTGATGATGATAGTTGTTTTCCCTCGACGCCATTCCCTGATAGCTTTCGTTATTTCCACGCGGTTCGTGGCATCAAGGGCACTTGTAGGCTCATCCATTATCAATATAGGCGTATCCCTTAACCGTGCCCTTGCAA